AAAAGATGGTCATTTTGATGACTCCTTCCAATCCACCCCTAGGCCCCAAAACAATCCAATAGAAGCAATGATCTCGCTGTCTCTACTTTTTATTCATTTACCCCAGGGACACTGTGCCGTTGTAACTTTTTTTAGTATGGGCAGGAGGCTTGCACGTCCCATGTTTATCGATCTTTATTTTGGGGATGAACCTGTTAAAGGGGCGGATATGTAACCCTAAAGCCTGCGTTTATGATTCTTCATAAAAGGGAGTCCATTTCTAAATATGTGAAATCTAAAGTTAAAAAATGGAATTTACGTGATGCTTAGTTTGACGGTCTTATTTCTGTAACAATAGCTTGTTAGAGTTGGGCTATTTAAAGGTGTGCTTGACCTCGTCTAAAGATGATTCGCTGAAATGAAATGGGATATATCAGTTGGGAAAAAAGATTTGTCCAGCACATTGGGCAGTTCTTCCCACTTAAAACGTGGGAAGCCTGTAATTTTTCCTAGGTTACCTCAATATTGAGAGCCAAAAAAATAGTGGAAGAAAAAATCCGAAAATCACATGTTTGTTTAAAGATTTATTTGGCATTTGATGGAAATGGTTTGGTCCATAACAAGTTCCAAAGTTCATCTCAATACTTTGTTATATACCCTTTGTTGGCAATGACAGAGGTCAAACGTTTTCTGTAAGTCTTCACAAGTTTTTCACACACTGTTGCTGGTATTTTGGCCCATTCCTCCATGCAGATCTCCTCTAGAGCAGTGATGTTTTGGGGCTGTCGCTGGGCAACACGGACTTTCAACTCCCTCCAAAGATTTTCTATGGGGTTGAGATCTGGAGACTGGCTAGGCCACTCCAGGACCTTGAAATGCTTCTTACGAAGCCACTCCTTCGTTGCCCGGGCGGTGTGTTTGGGATCATTGTCATGCTGAAAGACCCAGCCACGTTTCATCTTCAATGCCCTTGCTGATGGAAGGAGGTTGTCACTCAAAATCTCACGATACATGGCCCCATTCATTCTTTCCTTTACACGGATCAGTCGTCCTGGCCTTTGCAGAAAAACAGCCCCAAAGCATGATGTTTCCACCCCCATGTTTCACAGTAGGTATGGTGTTCTTTGGATGCAACTCAGCATTCTTTCTCCTCCAAACACGTCTAGTTGAGTTTTTACCAAAAAGTTCTATTTTGGTTTCATCTGACCATATGACATTCTCTCAATCCTCTTCTGGATCATCTAAATGCTCTCTAGCAAACTTCAGACGGGCCTGGACATGTACTGGCTTAAGCAGGGGGACACGTCTGGCACTGCAGGATTTGAGTCCCTGGCGGCGTAGTGTGTTACTGATGGTAGCCTTTGTTACTTTGGTCCCAGCTCTCTGCAGGTCATTGACTAGGTCCCCCCGTGTGGTTCTGGGATTTTTGCTCACCGTTCTTGTGATCATTTTGACCCCACGGGGTGAGATCTTGCGTGGAGCCCCAGATCGAGGGAGATTATCAGTGGTCTTGTATGTCTTCCACTTTCTAATAATTAATCCCACAGTTGATTTCTTCACACCAAGCTGCTTACCTATTGCAGATTCAGTCTTCCCAGCCTGGTGCAGGTCTACAATTTTGTTTCTGGTGTCCTTTGACAGCTCTTTGGTCTTGGCCATAGTGGAGTTTGGAGTGTGACTGAGGTTGTGGACAGGTGTCTTTTATACTGATAACGAGTTCAAACAGTTGCCATTAATACAGTTAACAAGTGGAGGACAGAGGAGGCTCTTAAAGAAGAAGTTACAGGTCTGTGAGAGCCAGAAATCTTGTTTGTTTTTAGGTGACCAAATACTTATTTTACCGAGGAATTTACCAATGAATTCATTACAAATCCTACAATGTGATTTCCTGGATTATTTCCCCCCATTCTGTCTCTCATAGTTGAAGTGTACCTAGGATGAAAATTACAGGCCTCTCTCATCTTTTTAAGTGGGAGAACTTGCACAATTGTTGGCTGACTAAATACTTTTTTGCCCCACTGTATTACCTTAGTAAACACTGTTCCTGCTGAGCATATGTTCCTGGATTTCAAATGTCAAAGCAGTCACACCTTAAGTGACCTTAAGTAGCTGTTTAAATATTGTAATCTTGAACTTTTGATCAGGAAATGATGTAACGGTGCAGTGCCATGGTCAAATAAACGACATTGCCAGTTATGACGAACCGCATGACGTCATGCGTTTCCCGGAAGAAACAAATGGAAAAAGAGAAATCTCCAACGAGGCGTTCTGGGGCAGCATAGACAGGTCTTTCCTGTGTTAGAGTTTTACTCGCTACAGGGTGTACTTTGAGGGTTTGTGACTCTGCAGATCGTTTACATGCAGAAAAACCTTCATAACACACAAGGGGACAGGTAATAACCGGAAAAGCATGACATGGGACCTTTAAACTTACAAAACACATGAAGTCAGATGACCTGCATGTGTGTCTGCATTTTACTGCCATGTTTGTTCTTTTGTTGGTTATGAGAATGGCAATACATGTAGCAATAGACAGCTCCGCCCCTCCTGCTCGAGGCTGTTGCTGTAAATAACATCGTCATACTCAGCACGGTTAAATGATCCGGTATGAAACAAGTCTGCGTCTAATGCTGGAGGAGGGGGGGGTATTCATGTTGTGGAGCAGAGCGGGGGAAGGGCAGAGGCCTCCTCGTCTCAGATGACAGGTATGCTCCATGTTAGTCTCAGTGCTCTTATAGCCAGGCCGTGATGTAACCTCAGATACGAGTCAACACACGATCACACACGCTGGGATTCTGACACAACTGAACAAAAAGGATTAGGTTACTAATAAAGAAAAATACTCTATTACAAAAGGAAAACATTTTATTTTGTGGGTCAACAAATTCTTTATAAGTCCATAGATAGTTTCCTGCAATATAATGTACTTTTTTTGGAATTAATTATTGTGCAAAAAAAAGGAAAGGTTTGAGACGAATAAAAAGTATAATAATAATAATAATAATAATAATAAAAACTTTAATATTTAAAAATATATATATACGGTAATAGTTTTTTTATGTGAAAATTAACATAAAAACAGGGAAAGTCTTAGACATAAACAAAAAGCAAAATAAGATGGAAAATAAAACCTTAAAATAAATAAAAATTAGAAACAAATATTGTGGAGAAGAGAATTTATTAAATGCATATCATCGTATGGATATTGTATTTAATGGTAAAAAATATATAAAATAAAACATACTTGAATGGCTAAAAACTATAAAAGTTAAGTAAAATATATATTTTTCTAAATGTTAATGTCAGGCCTGTTGTTGCTGGGGTATTATAGTTGCGCTGAGTTTAAAAGCCAAAGCTTTTTCCTGAAAGAGCTTCTCCATTTTCATGAATGCAAATATGTGTTAATCATTATTCACTCACAGTTGTAGAACTCATTTGTTTATATGTGTTGAAGAATAAATTTGCCTGCAGATACAGTTAACATGTTAGCATACTTAGCTGACAGTGACTAACAGACTGTAGGTCAGTTACTACCTCTTCGACCTATTTGATGTATTTATTTAAAAGGTGGAGACCTGTTATGGCAATATAAATAGGGTGATGTGATCTTAATCCGTGTATGTACATTTTGAACCATACACTTAATGTTGTCATTGTATGTCTTTAGCCATATACACACACTCATAGCATTACACACTTTCCTAAAAACACTCCATTCTTTTTTGGACTATGAATCTCTTTATTCCTAATGATTGGCATTGTAGCTGAAGTGGTTTATAAACTTTATTTTTTAACTCGATGAAATCATCTATTAACCGTATAGATACAGCTGGGGGAAATGAATGACTGGTTATGATTGTTTGAAGTTGCTGTAACTGAAATAAAAATGAGTTAAACAAAAATAAAAAATAAATCAGACATTTGAGAGATTGAAAAACTAAACAGAATTTAGTGCCCCAAAATATGTTTCAAACATTTTTGATTTTCAAGTTTATACTCCATGCCTAAACACTTTTTTTTTTTTTAAATAAAAAAGACTTTGGGTTTGGTACTATTCCACTATGAATCCTGTTGTTAAAGCACAACCATCTTTCCTATCCTTTCATTCATCTCTTGCCCTAGCAACTCATTAAAGTATAACAATTCTACCCAGGGTTCGAGTTATAAACTGAGCTCTAAGAGGGTTTTTAAAACATGCCCCCCCGGTAAGATTTGTTTTTACATTTTGGAGTTAAATGCATCAATCTGGTGCACTTGGAGGGGGAAATAAAGAGACTAGATATATGGAAACACCCATATGAAACAGATGCCACATCATGTAGACAGAAAGTCACCCTGTGTGAGGCAAACCCACATTTGCACAGCGTTGCGTTCACAATACATACAAAAAGAAAAAATCTCCAGGCCATCGGGAAACCTCCCGGTCCTACCCATGGCCAGTCCGGGCCTGCCAGCAGCCCTCTACTTGCTACAAACTTAAATATGAAAAGGTTCAACTACGCACACACACATCATCTTGGCTCGCGCAGCACGCTCACATGCATAGCTTGCGCAATAATGTATTGTTCACCTTGGAGGTGCAGTGCAGGCATATTGTCATTCAAGAGATGCGTAGTTCTTTTGGAAAACATGTTTTTCTTTTAGCCTATTTACCTCGTTAACATAAATAATACTCATTACATTGACACATGCATTATTTGTGATTTAAAATAATGGTTGTTGGTAATGTATTAGCGACCCCCACAGATGTATGATTTCACTGCGTCCGTGGGAGCTCAGACCCCTCCTTATGGGAGCTCAGCTCCCATTGGCTCCCACATAACTCGAACCCTGATTCTACCAAATAACACTGTCTTAATTTGTTTGTGTATTTAACAAATGTTAAAGCTCTTTTAGGAACCTTATTATGAAAGTTTCCCTGTTCTTTTAAGGGAATTATACAACAATAGAAAATACCTTTTTTAAACAAATGTTACCCATAAAAGACAAAACATAATGGATGATGTTTCTTGTTTTTGTAGGAGTCCTGATCGACAGGACGGGCGAGTACTACCACGTATTCTTCGCCTGCAGTGCCGTGGTTGCCTCCTCCGGCGTGTTCCTCATCGTGGCGTTTAGCTGGCTGGACAAAAGGGACAGGAAGTTGTCGAAGCAGGGTCCCCCGTCACCTCTGCCTGAAGCAGCCAGACCTGCTGTGGACCTGGCTCCGGACTGCCAGTACCGCAGCGTGCCAACAGAGGGAGATAAAGACAAGGCCTCGTGTGAAGGAGACACCTCCAGCGTCTGAACCCCCCCCCCTCCTCTAACACACATCACAAACTCAATCAGCTTTCCAGATTGTTTCCGGATGTTTGCTCCAGCCAGCTCGGTGCTCCAGATGTTGCACTGTTTACTTTCCCGCCATCTGGTGCGCCATAAAAGTCAAGACGAACCACAATGAATAATTAATGTTAGACAACCTTTATACCAAAATGAACAGGTGTGCACTTAACAACTACAGTGATTGTACTATTTATTGCAAATATGCTGCTGATCCTATCAATGTGATCACACAATCTATCTTACATGAGGTATCTCACTTTATCAAGCCAAGTTACATACATGATCCTTTGTTGAAGAAATCACTGAATTTTTTTCTGGAGTGTTTTTAATGATGATAGTATATGATTATCAATAGGTCTGGTTAGCTGCTGTTAAATGATACAGTATAACAAACAAACTAAGTAGAAATATAAATGGGTGAAATCAAAGTGATGGCAAACATAGTTGAGTGAAGTCGCTCCCTGAGTGCTTCAATAAGAGTTAAAGAAAAAGATGGTGTGATTATTCTATATTTGTCCTAGCTACCTAGTGTAAAAATAATTTCTGGTTATTTCATTAAATGCACATTTCTTTAAGGATTTGGGCCTTGAATGTGCAATAAGAACTCATATAATTCAGATTGTACTACTCCTCCACTCAGTGCCTCAACATGATGACCACCTAAAGGCCCTCATCCCCTATCAGGATAAATATTTATGTTGAACAATATTTTATCCCAGAAGAATATTGCAATTAACTTTTATTTATTTAATTTCAAGACCACTTTATGCAGATGATAATACAACAGAACAATAAGGCAAGCTCACCATTTAAAAGAGCTATTAACGCCAATTCTTAAGAATATTCCGAAATTGGAATAAGGATGTAAAAGAAAATAATTTTCTAAATAAATAAAAGATCATAAAAATAAAAATGAATGTACTGTTAATAAGAAATATGCAGCATCAGCTTAATGCCCAAATCTTGTTATAATAGGAAAAAACCTTTATTCTTTCATATGTTAAAATGTTAGCACCATTTATTGTAAGCAAATGCATGTAAAACAATATATCGAGGTCATGTCCATATTTTGTACAAAAAATATATATATTCAGGTCCACATTATGTATGATTAGTTGATAACCTTATAAGTGACACGGTACCAGTTGAGCGCTTTGTTTAAATTTAAAAGATAAAGCAGCACATAACTTTGGTGCAAACAGGTCACAAATATATCAATTCGTTTTTTATGGCCTCAGTAATCGGCTACACACCAAATATTACTCAGAAAGGCAGAAATCATGCTTTTGTTGGGACGACTTTTAGCGGCGGATTATTCCACATTTCTTCCTTTAGTTAGAAATGTGGCAGCAGTTCAGTGTATGTGGGATTGAGAAGAATATAGAATATCATCCTATGTATCCTTTTACTAGCAATAGCTTGAGACGTGTTACTGTTGGCCTTTATCAGCCAGGAAGAAGAAATAGGTTAAGTGTTTTGACATGTTAAATATATTTTCTTCAGTGTTTTGACATCTTAAGTAGGAATGTGTTTATCTTATGTATTGTGGAGGCATTACACACCGCATGCTGAGCATAACACACATATTTATGGTCTGCTTTAGATCATTACATCTCTTTGTTGTTTACTGTGACATGTAGAAAAATGAACATTTGTACTGTATAAGCAGCAATTAATCATGTTTGTTTAGTGTTTCACATGCTTTCTTTCCTTAATGGAACAGTGCCTTTTTATAGAACTGCTGCATTTAAACCATATGAAAGTATGGAGCCCTCTCTTGAAGATAGAGGCAAATTATTTCATGTTATATCATTTTCTTGAGAGGAATGTTTTGTATGGCACTAAGGAGTTTTATCACACTGTAACTGAGTTTACCTTAGCCCTAATCAGCTAATGTATGGCAGACTTATCTTTTGGTAAACGAACCAGTGAGACTGTTTTGTGTCCGATGTGACTGAAAATGTCAGGTGTGAGCTGAAGTGCAGTAAACAAAAAAGAGACGTTTCTCTGCAATGACAGGATTTATGTTAATTTGTCAAGGCTAGTATTGCTTTGGGCCAAATTATACCTTTTATTATAAATTCTTTATTTATACATTTTGAACAGGGGATAGGGGAGAATAAATGTTTGAATATTAACGTTTTTCTCTGTGTTTTATTCGGTGAAAATCCAAACATGTATTATGTGCATAAATGCAATCATCAAAAACCAAATCACCCCTTTCAGGTCAGTGCTTTCATCCTCAATATGTTAAAATGCACTAAATCCAAAATTCCTCTGGAGGGCATAGCAATGTGTGTGATTGCTAATCTATCATATTGAGCAGACGACACTTTGTATGAACACGTTTCTGATACCAGTGTTTACATTTGGGTGTGAATGGGTGAGTGCTGACTTGTGTTAAAGCACTTTGAGTGCTAAATACATTTACCAGCTGCAAAATCAATGTAATGTGATAGACAACAATAATTATAAACCAATACGTCATCAAGTGGCGCAGCAGGGCCGTTCCAATGTCCAGCGTACTTGGAATTCCACCGAGGCCGCGTCCTTGGTTTGGGGGAAATTTCGAGGCTGCACATGGGTAGACTTCGCGTCCTTAAAATCCCCACAATGCTTTGCGCACGGACCAATTTCAAAAACCCTTGCGGAGAATGGCTGAACCGACGCAGCACACATTTAAATGTAAGTATGTAGTGGCGTAGAACATGTGTTGCTAAATATGTTACTTTGTTATATTTGTTATCACCAAAAATGTGTTCCGTGAAAGTAATGCAAGTTCATAATTAGATAGACATCGTGAGGTATTTATTTTCGGTACAGTTTATGTTGAAACCGTTAGAGAGAGTGGCACACTTGTTAGCCTGTTCCATTCTTCTTTGTTTTCCGAAGCCGTGGCTTGGAAGCAAACTTGCTTTGTTTCTGAAGGAAGTGACTTGGAAGTACACGACTACCAAGCCAGCATCCTCGAGATTGAGAAACACCCACAGATGAGATCTGCCGCCATCTTTTGGCCATAATGTGTAAAGGCTGCTGCTCATTGACTATTCTCTTGTCTTTATACATCCTTGGTTAAAGGAAGTGCAAATGAAAGCGTAAAGCTCAAGATAAGGCTATGATTCTATGCACTATGTCGTGTAATGTCGCCTTGTTTCATGAGAACGGAGACGTGTACGGAGACGGTACAGATAAAGCATACGTCACCCATCTGAAAGTGAAACTAAAAGTAGCCTATAGCAGTTAGCTAAATGGGGACTCTGTGAGGGGAAACACACGGTAAGTCCTACAAATACACCTTATTACCTGAAATATATGGGACTATTGTGTGCCACAGGTTTGTTAAGCGTATTATCAAACAGCAGCGAGGGCGTAAGCAACCCTATAATCTTATCAACAAGTGTTTTAGGAGTTATTATCGAACACTAGCTAGCAGGATTAAGACCACTACATTAAAAAACTATACAAAAAAGTTACGAATTCATAAAGTTATGAGGGTTCGTTAAACTAAACGTAACGGGGTGCATAGTTGGTGATATTGTTGCAGGCATGCTGTCAGCTAACAGAATAAATATTTCTGGTTTTACTCAGGTTAATGTTAATTAGGCACTGAACAACATATATTTCTACATAATGTTGTGTTTATTGTGAGAGTGTTACTTATATACTTTTAATATTTAAGTACAATAAGAAATGCATTGTGTTTACTTAATTGCTATAATCACAAACATATAGGCCTACAGTACAAACCTCCAGTGGTTTAAAGTACATTTACTCAAGTACATTAAGTACTATTTTGAGAAACTAGTACTTTAACTAAGTATTTTTAAAGGTCCCATGTCATGCTTTTCCAGTTATTACCCGTCCTCTTGTGTGTTATGTAGCTTTTTCTGCATGTAAACGGTCTGCAAAGTCACAAACCCTGAGTTCAGGTTGAGTTCAGGCTGAGTTTCGCGATGAGCACACACACAAACTAAGGCCCAATCCCAAACCACTCCCTCGACGCTACCCCTCCGTGACGGAGTGAACTCCGTCTGTAGCCACACTCGCAGCTCAACGAGGCTCCCTCCTGTCAGGTGGAGGCAGTAAATACAGCAGCAAGTTTTGGGACAAACTCCCCTCTCTCCGGCAGAAACAGGAAATGCCTTAACTGTATGTAACAACGGTTTCAAATCAGCATCTCTTTGACAAAAAATGTAAATTAATAACTCAAATAAAACTATAAATATAAATATATATTATAAATATATCAAATAAAATCTTTTAATTGTGTTTTTTGTAAAGCTCTTTTAGTTTTAAACCTGATGTTTATAAGCTTCTTAGTTTTTGCATACAAAAAACACAATTAAAAGATTTTATTTGATATATTTATAATATATATNGATATACAAAGTTGACATGCGGCTATACCAGCAATGCTACACTGTGTGATGCTGGGACGGGCTGAACTCACCAGGATTCGCGGAACCACACGTGACGTCACGACACAGCACCAAGCAGCGGCAAGTTTGAATCCAGACTTTTCTGGATACCTCTGAATTTGACCCATTTTCCCGATATTAACAAGTGATTTACAGCAAATAGGAAACGATATTCGATCTATATCACGTGTTACTGGAATAAGACCCAACAAGTTAATGCATTTTGAAACAGTTCTATGATCTTTCAGCTACAGTAAATTATGCAAGATAAGGACTTTAACTTGACAATCCACTGTCCGGCACATACGTTAACGCTCTTTGGTCATCAATTTGGACACCTTTACAATATTTATCTTTATGAAAATGTGTTTGAAATGCGTGCATCACGTATTGAAAATGCTGCTGTTATAGTATAATTAGTCTAAAATATCATTACAAAAGTCATGCGATAGTATGTTGAAGAAAGTCATAGTATTGTTGAAAAAATATGAATATAGAATACAGTGTGGATCATCAGAAGCAGTGTGTCCTTTCAAAGTTGACGCCTTCCTGCAGTGTCTCCAGTGGTTTTTGCATATTTTGGGAATTATTATTTGCATTACTTTCTGCTGACACTAGGTGCCTCAACTAGTTTCGAAACTGTGGCGCGCTTACACTGTAGGTGCGCCGCGTTTGGGGGTGCGGGTGCTAGTGGAGCCTCGCAAATGGGGGTGCTGCAGCCCCCTCAGCACCCCCCCTTCCCACGTCCATGGGTTTAAAACTAAAAGAGCTTTAGACAAAAGTAACACAATTAAAGATGTTTGGAGTTTTATTTTAGTTATTAATTTTGAATTTTT